TCCCGCGCCTGAGCAACAGCTTGAGTAGCTTCTGCCCGAACAACTGCCTCCGAAGTTTGGGCTCTTGCAGCTGCAACTGCACTTGTTGCTTCGGTCACGACGGCCGAAACAGCGTGAGTAGCTTCAGCTCTGACTTCTGAGGTCGCCGCCGCTGCTGCTAAGTGCCCGACAACTGAAGGGTCAGGGTTGAAAATGTTGTGCTGGAAGTGGATAGACCTTTGGTCTATGTTCAGTTCCCTCTGATCAACCTGATACGCCTGGTATTGTTGCATTTCAGGATCCCTTTGGGATCCGTCAGCATGAATTCTGGGGACATACGACATGTCTTCCAAGGGCGGCAAGGATGATCCTGATGGTGAGATTGCGGACTCCTCTTCTGCTTTCATGGAGATTGCTTGTGTTCTCCTAGATGTTGTCGGATCGTTCGGAACTGGGGGTGTGTGCGGCTTTGCGGGTAACGCTTTCCTTACTTGAGTGGGATTTCTTTGTGGTTGGGACTTTGGTCTAGGACGGGAGGAGGCACCACTGGACGACTCTCTGGACAGGTTTCCTGTTTCTCCTGGCATACCAGCTGCTACTCCTCCACTGCTTTCGGTTGACAACTGAAAACTTGACGATTCACCCGACTCTTGCATCCAAGTTTCAAGAACAGCGGCTGCTCAGCTGCCGACGGGGACACCTGCTCGTAAGCAAGGCTATCCTGTCTTGAAGATGCCAGGCCACTGGGAAGCCCAAACTCTGGGCACAAGCCTCAACCTTTCGATTGCTTCGAAAGCTGCCACAATGTCCTTTACTACCACGAGATCTGGAGGCGGGTTGCGCAGGTTAGGATTCAAACAAATGTTTGGAACACCCCTGTCGTTGAGCTGACGACAGATTTCTACTTTATCATCCACGTGCACTGAAACCTCCTGTGCTTGGATGTCTGCTTTAAGTTTGTCAGTTGTAATTCCAATTCGAAGGTCGGCGTTGTGGGCGGTATTGAACCGACGTACTGATGCCAAAGCCTGATCTCTACGGAATTTACTCTCCGCCCCTTTAAGGCCAATATAGGAGTACACACCGGCTTGATGGTATGGGGATTGGGACAACCAATTTGCAAGTTGATTGATGGCAACCGTTGACCACCTTCCCTTTCCAGTTGAACCTAAATCCAACACCCCGTGCAGATCCAGAGACAATGGGATCGTCGGATGAGCACCCGCCACAGAAGATGCTGTCGCAGCAACCTGTGGCCCACCCCGCGGCCTGAGTTCTAGAGGCCTGGCTTCCGAGATCAGCACACCTGAAGAACTTGGTGCCTCCGGCAAGCTAGAAACTGGAACTTCTGGGCCAGAAACTTCGGGAACAGCCTTTGGGGGAGAATGTGATGGATCAATAGTGATAGGTTCACAGCTTTCGACAGTGTCCTGAGTAGGTGACAGTGGGGTTTTAGCCTCTGAGTTAACAACTGACGGCTCTTTATTCTGCCAATCAGACCAATCCTGCCAACCGGACCAATCCTGCCAACCAATGTGTTGACCCCAATTACCAGTGTTGTAAGCCGAGGACGAATAACCAATTGGGACAGATTCACTTTTGACCTTGGGGATGTGTTGGCCCTGTTCAGTCAGTTCCCACAACTCCTTCTTCCTCTTTACTTTCTTACCTCCTCGTTTATTTGGGGCGTCCCTGAAATGTTGATCACCACTCATACAAGAAAGGTCACAGCCAGATCCCGTTCCCCCTTTGCCACTCCTGCTCGTAAGCAAGGCAATGGCGACCAAGATACAAAGTACTCGGTCTAGAGAAGAAATGCCAATGCAACCAGACAGCAGCCCAGTCACACGTCAGCGGCACACAGGAAGGGAGCTATGGCAAGCTATACGGCTGATAACCACGCAAAGCAAGTGAAGTACCTTTTACTCCACTTGAGCCAAAGTAATTAGTGATGATGACTATGTTAATCATCTATTGTTGCATGAATTATACCAAAGTGGCTTGGTGAAACAAAACATGGTGAAAACCCCCAATCATTGTACGGTGTATATATATATAAAATATGTATATGTATATATATACACATATGTGTACTTATTTATTTCAATCTATTTATCTCTTTGTATTATTTTATATATTTATGTATAATAGGCTATTATTATCTATTATTACGTGCATTATTAGTATTGATTAAATGACATATGGGATACATTAATGAGAGACAACAGGGGATAAAACAATAGGATTTTTGACAGTTGATCTACCATATCATTGTTCTTATTATAATACTCATTTATTTATTGTTTTTGCTTACTTATGATTATTTATGTATTGATTCATTGATTCATTTATTTATTCATTGATTTACCTATTTATTCATTCATTCATGTTGTTTTTTCATTTATTCATAATTTATTCGTTTTTATTTACTATTTTATTTGTTTATTTAGCTATTTATAATATGCTATTGTTACGTGTATTACTGTTATTTTTATTGATTAAATGAACTATGGGATAAAATAATGAGGTAATATGGGATAAAATCATGGGATGCTTGACAGTTGATGTAGCATATCATTGTTCTTGTTCTAACAGTCTAACATGATGTTATTTTTGTCAGTGGTGTTATGGTTAAGATTGTCGTTAATAGTGACGTGACTAATTATGCTACACCTATGAGTATTTTGACTATCATGATTCTGATGCAATTATGATGATTATGATGATTAATTATGATGATTGTGATGATTATGATTGATTGTGACTAGTATGAGTTTTTTTTCCTATGATATCCACTATTGTTGGCCAGCCCCCATCATTGTCGGTTATACCCACCACTTGAAACCGGCAGCCGTGGCACTTCAACAAATCACGCTGTGCATGGACGTCGTTCATTCCCATGGTACCCCGCAGCTTTCAGCGAATCGCTCCCTGCGATTTCGCGCGATGGAACTACACAATTTGGCCATCTTTTGGCAACCCCCCAAAAAGTGGGAAAGTTTAATCCTACTGGAAAAGTTGTCAATTACTTTTCTATGTTTTTGATTCTTTTTGGGAGTTACCAATATACTATAATCCAATAAATTTTATATTCAAACCTCCAATATGAGCCACCCATGACTGGACCCCCAGGGTTTCGTCTTGGGGTGAATATGAAAGGAGTAAGGGCTTCACTCAGCATCCGGGTCAATATGTCTTAGCAATATATCAACTCTACTGCAAGCAACATATCAAAGGATTTTTGCGATATTTGGGAGGCCAAAATACGCAGAAATCACATACTGTACAAGTATCTACAACTGATCAGATCTGCGCGTTTTGATTGGCATCCGCCCCAAAATGATCAACGGATTGCGAACCTGGATCATCCCATTTACGGAGATTGCTTCGTAGAAGGTTAGGGATCAAAGTATGGCAGAGGCTCAGCCCAGGACCTATCCCCAGATACTTTGCTGCTAAACTAAGAAGAGAACTCAGATGCTGAGCACTTTCCAATTGGGACGATCATAGAATTGTGAAAGGTGTCTTGAATATGTTGTGCACAATGCTCCAGAAAATGGGAAGTCACTAAGCCGCCCTGTGACATCCCGTCCTATTCATCGTTGTACCCAGTTTCTACATAGCTTTCGCGTCATACAACCATATTCACCACGGTTTGCCTTCAATATCCTGCATGTTGTGAACAGCCACTGATTTCAACCCGTAAAATGGTATCATCCAAAATTCATTCTAAGGTGCTTTTAAGAAATGACCAGTAAAAAAAAAACATCACAATCATCAATCCCATTTTGGGTTGACAAATCAAAGAAACACACAACCATTTCACAACCATATCACCGCTATCCCAAATAAAAACCATGAACATATATGAAACCACACACCGGATAGGATCGTATATGATTGCATATGATTTCATTTTCAAACAAATATTGCTATCCCCATGAAAAAAAAAGTGCCATTTATCCACTTCCGGTCCTGGTGCGGCAGGCCCCAATGGACTGGTCATGGTGTTTCTTGGCTTTTGACAAGGTTAATAGAGGTGATTATTTTGAGAAATGTTAATAATGGTGATTAACCATTGTTAGAAATGTTGATTGTTAATAATGCTGATTAGTGGTTAATAAATGTTAATCATGGTGATTCTTTTTGTTGGCGCTGTGGCTTTGGTTGGCTCAAAAATATCCAGGTTTTCTCTGCATGTGCTCAACGTGGGTTTCATCCCGCGGTTGCGTGCCGCTATCCCTTGAGTTCTTCGTCGGCGGCGCAACGCCGGGGGGCGGAGCACATGCAAAGCGAATGCTGGAGATGGGTCATTAGACGGTTCAGTGGCAAACTCTTTGAGATATCAATTGAACACAATTGATGTTTTCCTGGGTTCCCTAGGTTCCCTAGGTTCCCTAGGTCTATCTACGTCTAAAAATTTGACCAATACCATTCAATACCCCTTTCATGTCAATTGACACCAAAGTCCACCTGCTGGAATTCCTTCATATTCCAACTACAGAAGCCTGCGAATTCACCATGCCTGAAAGACTAGCTCAGAGGAAACGCCATGCCTTAGAAAAGAGTGGCTCACAGTGAGCCATACAGCAAAATATAGCAAAATACATAGGCACTCCCCCAGTCTTGATCAGATCTTTACCTTAATCATTCCAGATCAAATATATGATGTAGTGCTTCCAGATTTTGTTTGTTACGGCTTTTAGCACAGACCGGGGTCCATTCATCACTGAGTGCCCAGACAAATAATTCAATGCCAGTAAGCGATTCTGTGAAGGGTTCTTGGATGTGGGGGACAGCTCAATACATCGCTCATACATGCGCAACGCCTGGCGAACATTGGCGATGGATCCCAGGTCGAGCATTTTTATGGAGGCAACGATGTCACGGCGGAACTCCGAAGCCTCGTTTTTTTTTGATGATGGGACATATATGCTGGATGATATTGGGAGATATGATTTACTCAAATTTTCATGTTTTATTGGGAGATATTGGGTTTCACCATGTTTCACCTAACTCTGTCACCAAATATCCTTCAACGAAGGTCGAACAACCGGCCTGCGCCAAATCTCCGTGATCCCAAAAAAGCCAACCCAGGTTGTTGTATGCCTCGGCCTCAGTGGCGTTTCAACGTTCGTTTTTTCAGCCCAGTGGGACGCTGAGCCGCTGACATAATTGGGCGCGACTGAGACCGCTCGGGCCAGGTATTCGAATGCCTGGTCATCAAGGCGCTGAATGACGAGCCCCCATGGGGGAAATTAGGGTAATATGTGATGTAATGATTATGGGCGGAATTTCAGCATGATCATGAAACACGATACTACACAACACTATGGGCCATGGGGACATTATCGGGATGAGTTTGGTGGTATATTTGGCATTGAATTTGACCGGAAAAAGACCGAATCGAATCGAATCGGCTATCAAAATAAATGACCAGTAATACTCACAGTCCAAACAGTTCCAATATATCAGCATTTTAAATCCCATCGATTTATCATCACTTTTCCCGTTTAAAATGCCATTTTCCCACAGGGCTAGTCACCCCTCTCCGCCGGGCACCTCAGTCAATCGCCCAGAGGTGGTGTATGCCACACCCAAGTTGTTCAGCGACTGCGCAAAACGGGGATTGCACTGAATGGCCAAGTGGTAGTATTTCAAGGCCTTGCCGTCAGAGGAATCCGGTTGTGGCGTCAGATTCGTGGCGTCGATGTGGAAGGATGCTGAATTTCGGAAGGCCAATATGTGAGAAAATCAGCATTTCGCTGCCCACTTTGAATAGCATTGATTCAATGATATTCAATCGAGGTGTCCTAAAAAGGGGGATCCCCAAACCCATGGGTTTCAATACTCAAATGGTCGAATGACTTGGATGATTGGGGGACATTGGTTGGTACCCCCATTTTCGCTGCCCATGTAGCGGATCGACACCTTTTCGAGATTCTCCTGCTCCTTAAAGATGACACCCATGTTGTTGTATGCCTGGACACCAGGGGCCCCCGGGACCCAACAAATGAGTCGTTGGGACCCAACACCTCAAGGAGTTGGTTGAGAGGCAGCGGGGCTTGAAGCCCAAGTCTAAGCCATCAAATGATATCAAATGTATGTCGTGGAACCATAAGAAACATTGGGTGAATTTAGAGTGTCCATGTTGTGGAAACCATAAATCTCTACCTTTTCCCATTCCCTTGATAAGCACCTCTGCACATCGAGGATCGAAGTGCACGGTGAGTTGGTAGTTGATGAGGGCCTTGAACAAGCGCTTTTTCCAGCAACGCCAGGCGTTTAATGTTTGGTGTTTCACAACAATTTTTGGAAGCTTCAGAAACTCTGAAAATACCGAGGCAACATCTTTTCGAACAATGAATCTTCATGAATTCACCCATATTCACCCAGCATGAATTGATGTTTGACGAAAAATTCGTGTGACCTGGGCCTGGTTATCCCTGGTTGAGGGTCTCATTTGAGCCTTGTCATACTTGTGCATCTCCGCATAGGACACGCCCAAATTGTAGTATGCCTCGGACCACCGTTTTTCGCGCCCAAGCATCAAGAGGGGCAGCTCTGCTGGGCCACAGGACATTTGCATTGCTTGGGCAGTTCACCAGCGCCTCGCGACGTCGACTCTGTCGAAGGGTGTTGGGTGGCCACTGTGCCGGTTTTTCTGACACGCCCCCATTGAAGCAACCAAACTTGAGGCCGGGGGTGGATGACGAAAACTAGCGGGGTAGGAAAAAGAAGGAAGGGAAGAGGCGAGTTGCGGAGGGACTGTCATCATCGTGTCACGGCATTGTTCGTCCCAACGAGGATGCAACAATGAATTATGATATATGATATATAACAATGATATATATGGGGGAGGGGGCAGGGGGGGCCTGTCGCGTGAAAAATCACGTGATGTCCTTGGGGAGCCCCGGAATACTTGCTAAAGCAGGAAGACTCTAGCGAGCTGACGCTAACTTTCGTGATAATGTCAATAATTGCCAATAATGATAAAATGTAATTGAATAACGATGATGATGATGATGATGACGATGATGATGATGATGATGAAGATGACGATGACGATGACGAGGACGATGATGATGATGATGATAATGATGATGATGATGATGATGATGATGACGACGAGGACGAGGACGATGGCGAGGACGATGACGATGATGACGATGGCGATGACGATGACGAGGACGATAATGATGATGATGATGATGATGATGATGATGATGATGATGATGATGATGATGACGAGGACGATGGCCATGGCGATGACGAGGACGATGACGACGATGACGATGACGAGGACGATGACGATGACGAGGACGATGATGATGATGATGATGATGACGAGGACGATGGCGAGGACGACGACGATGATGATGACGATGATGATGACGATGATGATGACGATGATGATGATGCTGCTGATGATGATGATGATGATGATGATGATGATGATGACGAGGACGAGGACAATGGCGAGGACGATGACGATGATGACGACGATGATGATGACGATGATGATGACGATGATGATGATGATGATGATGATGATGGTGGTGGTGGTGGTGGTGGGGGCGGTCCCCCCTTTCGCGTGAAAAATCACGTGATGTCCTTGAGCAGCCCCCGGAATACTTGCTAAAGCAAGAAGACTCCAGCTAGCTGACGCTCACCAAATGGGTTGTTTTTATCCCCAAAACCGCTCACCAGTTGCCCTGGGAACCCCAAAGGGACCTCTCTATAGCATCTGATGGCACCCTTAGGGTCCGACCTGAGCTGCGGTGCATCACTTGGTGACTTAGCCATCAAAAACACACAGTTAACCATAGCCCATGAAGAATGGCTTTATAAATGGGGGATTTAACGGAACAAATCGGGACTTGTTGACTGAATCAACAGAAATGGGGTTGGGTACTCCAAGTGGACAAACCTATATATGGAGTACGGCCCATCATATGGCCATGTCCATTCGTTTCAAGTGTAGCTCATGTCCATGCATTTCAATTTCCATTCATGTCAAGTTTAATTCATGTCCATGCATTTCAATTTCCATTCATTTCAGTGTTCAATCATTTCAAAGTTAATTCATGTCCATTCATTTCAAGTTAGTTTAATTCATGTCCATTCGTTTCAATGTCCATTCATTTCCATTCGTACTAGCTGCATTGCCAGTATGACAGTATATAATAGTATATAGTTGTAGTGGCTTATCCGCACAGGAATGGGCCCCCAAACGATAGGCAAGTTCGTAACCAGGCAACTGGGGTTCATTTTATGCGTACTTCATTGATCTATTCTACAATTCAATGGGTGTATACAAATTCTATTCTACAATTATCCATAGCTAAACCAGACATAACTAGGTGCCCATAGGTGCCCCCCTTTTTTCATCACTTCGGCCCATTGCGGCCCGCCCCATCGCCATCTCCAAGTGTTCGCGCGCTTTGATTTGCAGCCCATGATTGATCAGCGAGATCGCCAGGTTCAGAGCTGTTGTCCTTAGCGGGGCTCGGGGCCGAATGAAATCGCACTAGGAATCTCATAATGACACGATGCTTTAGAATTCATAATTATATAATGTTATATAATGTTAAATAAATAATGATATAATAATCAAGGTCAAAAATAGTTATTACCAGTAGTGCCGCGCAAGGCGGTGGCGGAAGTTTCAAAAATAGGACACTATAGGAGAGGTGAGTTGTTGTGATGCATGGATGGCAGAGCGAATCCACTGATGGACCGAAAGGTGGTTGGAGTTGTGTTTTTTGGAGTGGCTGCAATGGTTGCAGTGGTCACCTCACCCACAACTGCTGAATGTAGTGTGGTGTAGTGCAAATGTAGTTGTAGTTATAGTGTAGTGGAGTTGTAGTTATAGTGTTGTGTAATTAGTGTGGTGCAGTTGCAGTTGCAGTCGTGGTGTGGTGTAATGAGTGCAGTGCTATGTAATGTAGTGTAGTGTGGTGTGCTGTAGTGTTGCGTGCTGCAGTGTAGTCTAGTCTGGTCTGGTGTGGTGTGGTCTAGTGGAGTGTAGTGTAGTGCGGTGTAGTGTGGTGTAGTGTAGCGTAGTGGAGTGTAATATAGTGTAGCGTAGTGTAACGTAATTAGTGTAGTGCAATGTACGTAGTGTAGTGTAGTGTAACATAGTTGTAGTTGTAGTGTAATTGTGTGTAGTGTAGTGTCGTGAGGTGGAGCGGCGTGTAGTGTAGTGTAGTGTACAGTAGTTGTAGTTGGAGCTGTAGTTGTAGTTAGTGTAGTGTAGTGTAGCGGAGTGGAGTGGAGTGTAGTGTAATTAGTGTAGTGTATTGTAGTGTAGCTGTAGTTGTAGTGTAATTGACTGTCGTGTAGTGTCGTGTAATTGGTGTAGTGTAGTGTAATATTGTAGTTGTAGTTGTAGTGGAGTGTAGTGTAGTGTAATGGCGGTTGTAGTTGCAACTGCTACAAAAACCTCAAGTTTTGCTCACTTTTGACAAGGTGCACAATCCCTTGCGCCTGCCCCACGAAACGACATCTGAACGTCCAAGAGTTCTCCGTGCCCGTCAGTTTTTTACACTTTTGACTTGGAAATCTGCTTCAAGCCACAATGGCGTGCACTTTTTCAACATCTCAACTTCCAAAAGTGGTCCGAGGTTGGTGTGTTTTGTACATATTGACTTCGAAATGTGCTTCGCGCCACAACGGCGTGCACTTTTGGACATCTCAACTTCCAAAAAGTGGTCCGATGTTGGTGTGTTTTGTACATTTTGACTTGGACATGTGCTTTGCGCCACAACGGCGTGCAACTTTTCATCTCTCATCTGACCACATGGCTCCGCACACCCGCCGCTTTAGCGAGCCTACTTTTCGACCCTCCAGAGCCACAAATCATTGGAAAACGCAGTGTTTTGTGACTTTTCTACCTTTTCGCGCACCTGCATCTTGTTTCTTCTCACTCTTTCTCTTCTCTGATCTTCTCGGATCTTCTCTCTTCGGCTCTTCTCCTCTCTGACTCACCTCTGCTTTTCCATCTGTCCATATTGTCGGA